GATTAAATTATCTTTTGGATTGAAAGTAATTCAACAGTGGACGATCCTATAAGTAAGGGAGCAGGTTTTGGAATTTTTCAAGAATTACGTGGAAGATTGAATGCTCTGCAAACGTTTTCAACACCTATAATAATACACAAAAATAGTAAGGAAATTATATATATTGAAACAATAGTTTTGAAAGATTCTTCCGATCTCGTCAAACATTTCCGTTCTCTCTTAAAATAATAATTATGTACAGTCACCATAATAACACACCTTCACGAAAACAAATAAATCGATCTTTATCGTATTTTTATTATTTTATTATACTGGTAGTGAAACAAATTTTGTCTGCTACTCGTCATATATATATATGTATTGAAACACGATATATTTTGATATTTTTTATTGTGCCAAAATTATCGATTTTATTTCTGGCAAGTGCACGGATTTAGGTTAATGTTTTCTTAACTTTTTTGTCTAAAAAATTACAAATTATACTTAATTCCTGAGGATTAATTGGCTCATTAAATATAATGTATTTTAAATCCGTCCTCACCTTGAATGGGGTAGCCAAAATCGGTATTAATTATTGAAGATCCACTGTTGTGGAATACGATACGTAATTAGACGATATTTGATGCTACACACAATGCGATGATTTCGATCACGTTGCACGGAGTCAATTATCTGTCACAATGGACGGGAAATGGGTCCATATAACTGTGGAAACGTGCTATACGCAGATTATATACTTCACTGGTAATTCGCAGAGGATGTATCGAAGATTATTGATCCAAATTATATACTTCATGAGAGGAAAGATATCCTATGGGAAAAGGAGGTTAGATTGGTTTTTTACACGTAGTAAACGTCTGTAATTGCCTCAACGGTCTATTTCCGTAGGATAAGTTATGGTGGTGTTGGATCTGTTATTTAATGACTCTAATTCGTAAAGCACCATTAAATAAACATATACCGATGATAAAATTGTTTGTTGTTGTTGTGGAATATATTTAAAAATTGAGACCAATGTTATAGAAAGCTGCACGCCCACAACAACTAATTATAGAAGTAATATGATATTATTTTTAATGACATTACGCGCGGGCGTAATCAGTTGGACAACATTAGTATCGCACATATTATTATCAAAACTGATTTAGTCTTTTTCTAACACTGCATAAGGGAAACTTCAATATTTTAAGTTGATGAACTCATAACACTATAGAGTGACGCCGAAACGTTTTAATCCGAGTACGATATTTTTTAATGTGAACAATATTTGATTGGTTTTTAAATTTATACCAGTTGACTAATGACGTATGGCAATCAATATTTCAATAAAAGCGAATTAGAACTTCGGAACTAAAATAGAATATTCTGAGCGAAGCGACAGATATATTGTCAGAAATAGATTAATCAATACATTGCAATATTTCATGTGTTTGGTGGTTATGTCGTTAGGTGTATAAAAAAGATCAAAGCCTAATTTCAGCATGATTTACAAATAAATGCATTAAAGTCATCATGTTGAAAACGATAATATTTGGTCGTATTTATTGCTTTTTTTGTGTATATTAAATGTGTTTGTTCAAAGCAACATTTCCGCAACTGCACTGTATCAATATAAATTATTAATATTATTATTATATGTATTTTTGTTAAAAGAAACAATCATGTGAATTGGAATGAATGGTCTGGTTTTGACCGACTCATCAAAATTATCCATACAGATGAATTGTAATAATTGGGTTACCAAACAAAATACTAATATATGGTAATTGTACCGTTCGTTATGTACCGGTATATGTTTTGTAATTTTTTTACTTTAAGTAATGAAAATATCGGTGATATAGTTTAAGTGTACATTATATAGTTTCACGGATATGCAATAATTGCTGGAATTTTGCTTTTTTTTTTGCTTTTTGGGCCATTAAGGCCTTTTGCAGCTTCTACTAAACCTCTCCACTTGTCACGATCAATAGCAGTCTCGAAACTTGCTGTTTTGTCCACCATTCTTATATCTGCATTTCATCTATTCCGCCAACGTTGACGAGATCTTCCCCTGGGACACTTGCTGGTAAGGTTATTAATCAGTACTTTTTGAATTATGCTTCCCTCCGCTCACCATACATGACGTGGTTTGAACGACATACATGCCCATTCCATTCGTTTTGCTTAGTATACTAAATATATTTAAATTTTATTTTCATAATATTTAATTTAAATTGAAATTCTAATTAATATAAGTGTAACGAAATTTTTTGTAAACAAAAGTACTAACGAAAAAATTAGTATTTTAATTCATTCGCAATATACGATATTGTAATATAATTAATTAATCTTTTTTTTTGTATTATAGTTCGTTTTCAAAACAGTTATGGGTATACCTACTATCCATTGTTGATGTTTAAAAGTAATTTCCTAAATATTTTGGTATAACAATAATAATTTAAATAAGACTTGAACAAATTAAAAAAATTAAAAATTAATTATTTAAAATTAAACATTCAAGAAGTCAGTCACTTTTATTACACTTCCGACGTCGAATAAAAAATATAGTTTTATTTTCGAGGAAATTAATTGCAGATATATGGTATTACAAATGTCTGCAATACGTATAAAACAAATTGAAATTCCTAGACGAGGGCTAAACCAAAATAATTTTACAGATGTTCTATAATTGAATTCACTAATTTTATTGCCATTATTATCAGACGCGAGATGTACGAATAATAATCAGATGTGATGACTCGAAAACCATAAAATAATAATTATATCGCATCGTTGTTGCTATTATTTTGTTACATTTCGACAACACCGACAGCCGTAGTACAATAGTCGAACAATAGAAACCGACTAAGTATATTACCATTTGATTTATTTCCGCGATGGTCTGATTCACAGGCGTCACATGTCTACGATAGTTAAAAAAAGACGTAAAAAAAAACGTATGATGAAGGGATACACATACATGAAGTCGCTCACACCGTTGTCGTTGTCGTTTCTCATGAACCCGTTTTTACTCCATTCAAATATTACGTTTCATTTAATTTTTTTCCCGTAACACTGCCGTAACTAGGTCTTCGAGTTAAGCGATAAATCTGAAATCATTTCAGAGGAAAAATAATCCGTGGGGACCGATTCCTAATTTTTTTATCCGGTTTGGTTTTTCGTATGTTAAAGTCATGAATACTACCAAAGCTTGCGACGAGGAAATATTAGAGCTGCACATCCTGTTTGTTTTACAAAAGTGAAAAAAGTTTAAATCTCGCTTTGCTCACATATAATAAATAATACATACTAACATCAATATTAAATAATATTATACTATACGTCATAATGTAAATAGATTTTAATAATTGAAATAACAAATTTCTTTAATCTAATTTTAAAATGATTTCTTTTTCTTTTTTGTGACAACCTCTTCATCATCAGTATCGCTATATTCAAATTGGTGATATTTGTTTATAGCATCTGGAAACACATCATTGAAATAATTTTGTTGCTTAGCCTTTGTTCTTGTAATTACTCTATGTTTTTTGCTGTTCATCCATTTGATAATTGACATTTTAGAATCCCAATCATACAAGGAAGTCATGTTATAATTAATGTATAAGTACATATTTTCAGTTGAAACATTTATAGCGGAACGTAATGGAAACTTTAATAAATTACTAATATCGTAGTTTTAATCTTTTGATATTCATAGATAAATATTGTTATCAATGTTTTAATCATAATTTCTAATAATTCTGGAAAACAAAATAATGTCAAATGGTACCTATGTTACAAACTCATATACATATAGAATTTATTGTTAAAAATTCAAATTATATTATTTTTTTTATGAACTGCACATTTTAATTTAAAACTGCACATTAACGCAAGCTCTGAATACTACAATAATTGAGTAGATGTATGACATAGAAATATGTGAATAATATAGAACTGCTGTAAATAATGAATTGTTGGCGTCGATTTTTTTTTACGCAATTATATTTTTGATGTACCTAATAATCGTTTTACAATAAGAGGTATAGCTATACATGAAATGGAAAAAGTTGCTGTGGTTTGAAAACACATAATGAGTTTTTGAGGAGTTTTGGATGGTATTGGATACGCTCGATTCTCTATATGTACCCCTTGTCCAATAATGCTCTTATGTCCAAATTTCGGTGAACAGATAACATGTTAATTTGAAAGACAATCTTTTTGATTTTCTGAGTAGTTTTTCTGTTAACATTTTACTTCGTGGCCGTTTCTATGCTGTGTTTTAAGCTTACAGATGATGATGAACATTTTTGAATAGCTAGAGTCGGCTTGATTCTACGAGTTTTCTTGAGTTACTAATATTCGATGTACGTGCAGTTAATTAAACGTATTGTCCACCGAACTTGCAGAACAGTTTGTCGAAAGCTCCACCATATTTTTATCACCGATCGCATGTGTATGGTTGCGCAATAACATGAGACGACAAGATACGTGTTATAGCGTACATGCCCGAACGGCTGTTTTTTGTTCAAACTTATTAATTTTTAGAAATGCGATTTCTGTCATAACACCAAACGGTGTTTACAGTTAAAGACGTGGTGCCTGATTCAGCGGCGTAGCGAGGACGTTTAAAAGCGAACGGGAAGGTAGAGACGATCAAAAAATGGAAAAATAAACTCAAAAAATTGCACTCCAAGGAACGTGATAGTCGTTACTGGTATGATACGATAACAAATACGTTTTGGCTTCGGACAGAGACGATGATGGGCCGTACGAGTGTGTACGAGCGATCGAAACATAACAATAACGACGACGATACGAGTGATGTACGAACGAAACCGGCGCCGGGCAACGGTTCGGGGTCACCGCCGTTGCGTTAACCGGAGGGATAACGGGATCTCGGGGGGAAGGACTTCGCGGCCCAGGCGGTTTCCGAACAACGTCCGGTTTCTGGTGGTGGCGCACGACGACGCCGCTGCGGCCGAGGACTCCGCCGCCGCAAGCAGTTCGCCTCTTCCGCATCGATCGGCCGCCTTCGCCGCAGTATCGTACAAGACGTCGTCGTCGAATAACGTTCTCTCAGGTCAATCCGCATAGACACTAAACGTTGTCCGCGCGCGAACGCGTAACAATTACGTACGGAGTATTCGATAATCAATAAAAATCGTCAATAAATCCGTCCGCAGACCGCAGCCGCCGCCGCCACAGTTTTCGGGACGCTCTTTCTCCTCCCCTTTTCCGGCGGTTTCGAATCAACCCTCGTTCGGTTCGATTCCGATCGTTTCACCGCGTTCGTCTCTGTGCCCACGCGCGCAACTACACGGACCCAATTCCACACCGAGGTAAGAACTTATCCAGAATATCCGTTACCGTTACCGTTACCATGTCTATTCGTAATTATAATATTACACTGTCGACGGTTCACCGGTTCCAAACCGTGTTTTCTTTACATGGAAAAATCATTCTATTTGAAATCCTGAGAACTTTGCTATATTGTCGTCTATGATTTTTTTTTCTCGTTGTTTAAACTCACTTGTAAGCTTATATCTGCATTACTAATCTTGGACGATACTAAGACTTTGTTATGATATTTATAATCGTTTACATTACAGTTATGTACAGCGCAAACGGTCCGGGACGGAACTTTAAGGATCACAGAAATATTAATTTTCAGATTTGTTTCCGGTTCATTCAATACATAATGTGTAATTTTTAGATATCACATTTATACAAAGTACCGAGTGAGGCAGTTTTCCTTATACGTTTACACTTTGTTAATTTTTCTGCGTAAACAATCGAATTCACTACTTTGCGACTGAAATTCTAAAATAGGTAATTTAAGTTGTTCGTTCTTTAGCATACTGCGATTATGTGCACTTTAAATTTACGGTAGTGATATATCATATATAACATATATAACATTTACTTTAGTAAAAGTTTGTTTTTAACTTTTTCGTGAATTAATTTAAAAACGTTTTCAGTTGAAGACTATGCATTATTGATCCTCACTCAAATGTGGAGTGAACTAAAGACATATTTTATACAAGGATTTTAAAACGATTTATATTCGAGAAAATTCGATCTTTCACAAAACTTATTATATATTGAAGGATTGATTTGCCGTCATCGTCGATGTATGGGTTAAAATATTTATTACTAGTTCGTTAAAAAGTATCTACTATAGAGCTTCTTTATTTATATCTGAATTCTGGATGTAATTAGTTTTTTACAAAATCAATCTTTTTTATATTTGATTTTAATGCGTTAATGTTTGAACACTGTACATTGTATAATTTTTATTTTTATTTTTTTATTTTAAAAAATAACTTTATAAATATGAATATTATTTTTTACTTTATGAATAATAAGATTTATTAATAAAATAGGTAACTACTAAAACGCATGTGCACTTAAGAATATAAACTATAGCGATTAATTTGTAGTATTTTCTATGAATCATAATATATTATGATGAAACTTATATTCTTACATTTCATTTAAAATTTCCTAATCCGTACTTAGAAAAAGATGATTTGTAATTTAAATAATGATCTACCATATCATATTTATGACTCAAAAAATAATATAAATCGGCTAAGACTTCAAAAATTATATAGTATTTACGTATATATAACGGGTGCATGGATTTCATTAATTATACGCATTATGTGGAAAAATAAAAATTATTATATTTTATTTCCAAAGCGTCATTATTCAATTATACGTTTTCCGTTGCATTGGGTTAAAGTACGTTCGTTTACTTTATTTTGATATTTTTTTTATTACTAAAAATCAATATATTTTCTATGTTAAGTTAAAATACGCATATGTAACGTGTATACGGAAAATATAATGATTCCTTTCTTCTTTTAATAAATTGTTAAATTGAATATCTCTTAACTGACTATATACAATAACAAACTTTATTTAAACCCATATAGTAGTTTAATGAACATCTTTTTCTATATTGGTTTCTTGTGTTTCGGAAGTAACGTAGAACAAGTAAGAAAAAGCGAATAATGTCACTGTCACAACGCACGCTTCGTTAAAGCCATAAAAAAGTTACCGTCACCGAAGGTGACATAGTTTTAGCTCATTAATAATTCAAGAGGCTTGCACAGAACTCATAGGATAATATAAGTCTACGAGAAGTTTCGCTCGATCGCGATTTATAACATTAATAATATTATGAGAATATGATTAGATATGATGTTATGTAGGTCGTATATTTCCTAAATGGTAAGGTGTATGATACTTCATTACCAATAAAATTGCACCTGTCGTTGGAAATTACTCGATTGGAGTTGAGGATTATTTCAATCCGACATGCCACTATGGTATGATATATAATGTGGTTATATGTGGAGGATTTTATTTAGGAGCCCTATGACTGTTCTTTCGACAGTGTATTGTACAATCATTTGGTACATACACCAAAAACACAAAACAACATTATCGTTGGAAGTATATTATCTAGAAAAGTGTACATTACTTTCTCGTGGTAATTAAATTCAATATAACACCGTTGTCATTCGTTTGGTGAAATGACCGACTTAAGACAGCTATTGAACTAAAACACATAAACCATATTTTTAATAAGTCTAATTTTTTATTAATTTCACAAAGTAAAAATTAAAACACTGCAAATTCAATTAAATTTCTGTAACACATTTTTTTTTTACTCCATGTAATGAATAAACATTTGTAAAAATAAACCTATTGTTATCAAAGAAGGATATAAATCGAAAATATTTTAATTTTTTGATATCATGGCTACAAATATTTCATATTTCAAAAATTCAAAAATACACATAATACTATAGATTTTAATATAGCATATAATATTTTAATGCTACAGCTATATTGCTACTATTATAGTCAGTGTTTCTTTCAAGCACTTCTCCTGAAATCTGAACCCTTCCCTCCCAGAGAAAAAATTGAAGAACAATAAAGACATATTAAATATTAAAAAAAATGTAATTTTGATATTACGATAAATGACTAAAAGACATCAGATATAAGTCAATATTCTACTTTATTCATTCATTTATAAAATTATTTTTTCCGATGGAAATCAATAATCAGTAATCACATAGTAAATATTCTTGGATATACACAAAACGGTATATTTATTCGCAAATAATAAAAATCACTGAATTCGGTTCCTGAATTGTAAAAATAAAAGTAAAGCTGAACATTTTATTTTTTACTATTTTTGTTTTATATACATTTAAATTATGCACAATTTATTTAAAAGTAACGTTGATTTATAATAATACTATGTTTCTGTATTAAAATTGTTAAAATTTGTGTATTTGATTATATTTTTTATAATTATAAATAACAGGTAAAGGTAACTCTCGTATTTTTAAAAAATGTATTTTTCTTGATGTAATATAAATTAACTGCGATTTTTTGAAATGGTCCTCCAAAGAAAATTGCCTGAAAGAAACACTCATTATACCGATAGAGTACATTCAGTATTCGTTTATATAAATTTGTTAATGTATTGTTTACTATTGTCATAGATTAAGTAACAAAACCAGTAAGAGTATGTTGATGTGTTTTAAATTAAATAAAAAAAAATAAAAATCTGTATCCAAACCAATCGAGAACACAAATCGTCCGCTCTTCATGATGGTCATTTGTCGACCATAAATATTTAAGTAATTATTGCCGTTTATTGTAAAGGTAATGATAACGATGTTGTTACGGTGAAACGGTATGTTTCAAGTAATATCCTCATCTGCCGGCTGTCGGTTGTTTCCGTATCGCGGGAATCAACGGCCGTTGACCTACGTTTAAGCGATACAATCGCATTTGCTTCGTAAATACATTTAATGAACAGAAATAACTGTGCACAGCTGCAGTAATAGCATCGCAGATTTACGAATTCGGGTGAACTATGTTTTTTGGCCAAATGACTACTGCGAAGCAAACGATTTGAAAATACAAATTATTATATATCTACGAACTACATCATATGTCCTGTGATTCCGATCTTCTGCGGTATAGGTATACGCTGCAGATATTCGTTCTAGCTCGTTGGGCGTTTGACATGATATTATTACCATCATGATTTCATCTATACAAATACCGCAGGTTGTGTTCGTGTAACGCGAGTAAATACGCAAATCGTTACATTTCACATATTTTCATATGTAAATGTGTATATTTGCAATGGTATACCTAAACACGATTCCCCGTCAGTAACTTGAATGCACGTATATGCGATTTATAGCGTCCGAACTAATTCTTCGGTGATTTCCGAAACGTCAGGAAACGAACGCCATTGCACTCAATTCTAGATCATATCGGTCATCGATACAATGTTGTTGCACAGTATTTTGGGTCAATGAGCACCACCGTACCGCCGTCGAATCAATAAATCTCCGTTGGAATTAATTAGCCATCATCGTATAAATTGCTGCAACCCGCTATAGATAGTAACTGTACAATTATTCACGTTTACCTGCCAAATGAATTCGTCAACGGTTTTAACGTCGTGGCATGTTATTGTTTTTAATTATGTACCGTTTGAAGAAAAGAAAAAAAACAAAGCAGACGTAAATTCTGTGTCAAATTACATAAAACGATTATAAAAATCAATCGCGGTATACGATCATACAAGTACATATACCAGTATATGTATATAGGTTTCAAAACCTATCAATGAATATATAATAATATACATTGACTGATGTGTTTTATTACATGGTTTATTATATGATGAATAGCTACACCGTAGCAATAAACAATTAATTCGCAACTATCGTTTTTTTAAAACTCTTTTCAGTACCAAAAGGTTAGCTATTTCAATAATAATATACTTGAGTTATTATATATATTCATCATTTGAAATTCTTCCTAACATTATTATTTTTACTGATATTCCGAAAATGCGTTTACTAATAATACTCGTGTACTATTGTTTTGTACCATAATGTAGTAACTGTATACTGTGTACCGTTAAAGTGTTGATGCGATCTAATTATCCATTCGTTTTCAATCGATTTTATTATTAATTGTTATACACTTTTAACTCGTTATACCATTTTGTAGGCAAAATATTCATTCTAATTGCATTTGTACAACATTTGTTGTTTTTTTTTTTTTTTTAAAAAAACAAGCATATTACATTTGTATTGTTTCGGTCAATTTACGTGTTATTGAAAAAATTCATTTTTATATAAATCGTTATACATTATGCTTTATCTAAGGCTTTATTAGACCAGAGTTTCGTTTACTAAATTATACTTTTTATCGTAATGCCCTCTAAGGTTTTTATTTTTTCATCGTATTTACGTAAACAATGTCTGGTTCTTCATTTACATGATCTTTA